GGAGAGTGCCACTAAGAAGACAATAAAAATCTGAGTTTAGAAGTAACCCCACGAGCACAAGGGCATGGAGGTATGTGACTAAGGATGTTTGTAGGCGAGTAAGAATAAATTCCTTCATATATACAGTATAACAAGATCACAACTTTACAAGATCCAGTATGTCTCCTTAGTACTACCACGAAAGACTAGCTGAGGAAATAAGGAAGAAGGTTTCCACCTAAGCATATTGAGCTAAAGAGTAAATGATCTTGTAACAACAGTCTCACTACAATATTGTATACACTCCATAAGAAAGTGGCACCTATCATGGCTAATGAAAGGAAAAAAAAGTCATCAAAGGTGATGTTTGAGATCATATGAGGTATAGGAAATTACAGTATTCGTGGGCAGTAAGAAGAGCCAAGTATTCATGCAACAAGTGATAGAACGATCAGGAAAAGGAATTGCTTACATTTAAGGACAACTGAGAAGGCACGAAAGGAAATTTATGGTGCTATCAAGTGAAAGGAAGGTTGTGAGTAGTATAAATAGATAGGTGTAGGTCGTAAGGTAAAGTATTGTACAGCAACAAGGTTTTAGGTAGATAGGAGTAAGGATATGAAAAGGTGAGTGAGAAGGTGACGAGAATATGTATGTCCTCGGGATTATACCCATCAAAACAAGGGAGCTGATGATTTCCATATGTAATAAAAAACTCGGTACAGCCTGAATGAACATAGAGGAGTCTAAGACTAGGAGCAATTAGAAAGATGAAATGCTACCCCCGTAGTAGAATAAGGGTGTAATTGTGATAGATAAGGCGATGACATTTAGGCCTTCAATTGAGGAATAATTTATAGAAAAGGGATTTTATGAATTTCACGGGATTGGAATACCCCCATAAGATGCATCATGTTAGGATGCTATGAAATACGGTTATGGAAGTATAGTATCGTCCCTAGGTGGATCGGACAAATTACTTTAGATATCCCCCGATGAGACGTGAGCCCTAGTGACAATGTATTACTTAATAGGTTTCAAGTTATAAGTGGTAGATTATGGATCAACATTAAGGTGAATTGCCAATGGATGGATAAAAGTTGCAAATGATGAGATGATATTAGACCGTCATTATTAAGATGAACAGTAATGATGAAGCATTAAAGGACATAGATTTATACATATAGGACAAGCAGCGAAAGAGTAACCCGGAGCTGGGTGGCAGACCTCGGTAATAATAAACCGAAGTAAGAGTTAGGATATAGTATTAACTACCTAGATGTAGTGAAACCATAAGCTTAGATAACCGAGGCTATGAAGCAAGGTATAGCGATAGTCGTAAGTTCGACAAAGTACCAAGCGAAGAACTTTTGTACACCTACAGATGCCTAGAGGGACATCTTGTCATAGGTTTGTATATGTTCACAAAATGAGGCCTAGAGATTGGCTAAAAGCTGGAGTAAAAAAAAGGGAGAAGAGTCAGGCACACATACAAGTACACGGTTGTACATGATGCATGACAGAAGGTAACAACAGTTACGAGATTGGAAGAATTCCGACCACAGGCCGTGGTATGAGAAAGAGGCCTAAAGGGGGGAATACCCTGGCCCTTGGATTTATTTACTGAACAGTTTCCTAGATGTCAAGGACAATATTAAGTATTCTTAAGAGCTACAGGTTATGTGACTGATAAGCGCATTAGAAAACATTCGCGGACGAATGTGCCAAAGGGGGGAATGATGTTACACCCCATGTTTTCGTACGTAAGAGTACGTCATAAGTCAATTAATGTAAGCTCAAAAATGGAATCATCTTTGAAAAGTTTACAAAGTTAGTTCATCATGTTAACGTGGAGGTTACAAATATTTAAGATCATTAATACCAAGTAGCAAGAGGGTTTGAAGGCTTAGAAGCTAAACGAATTGAAGAAAATAAATTTCGACGAAAGTCGACAAGTTAGAATGTTTTACCATGTACTTTTGGGGTGAGACTAGGGTTATTAAAATTATAAGGAGACTATATTATGAGTTGTTTTAGTCGTGTTATAGTTGGTGTTATGTTTTGAAGTCAAGCGAGTTGTGGAACAAAAGTTGGAAAAGGTCATCACAAGTTCCATTCATAAATGTGCTGAAAATTAGGTCAAATGTAACTAAGTTTTCCTCCCAATATACATGGAATTAGGGGATTATCTACCTACCAAATTGAATATCTATGAGTCTAGTTTCTAAAGCATTAAACCGTTTGTTGATACAAAGTAGAAGTAGAAAGATACTCGTATTTTTGCGAGACTGCGCAAGCTGGTAGGTGACAAGTAGGTGCATCACCTACTTGCCAAAAGGAGAGGCCTCAATTAAGGCGGGCAATAGGGGAATTTTAAGGGATAATTACTCATCTATTTCACTCATATTTCATACCATTAAAACCAGAGTGAACCCCTGCAACTCCTCCCCAAAAATCCCACACAAACCCTAGATTATTTCGGATGTTACGATGTGATTCTATTGCCGAAAACCCCGGACAGCTTGCTAGTTCCTCTTTCTCCTTCATGTAGCTGCGTTGGGGGACTGATTTTTGATGGAGAAGGACTAGGTTTCGTGGTTCTACTCAGTCCAAGGTAAGTTTATGCTTCTCCTTCCATTATCTATGCTTGTACGAGCTGTAACTCGACCATAAAGACTAGACCTAGCGAGTTTCGAACGAGTGGTATGATGTTTGTTGTTGCTTAACTGTTGGCTGGTTGTGAAATTATTTTTAAGTTGAATTGATGGCTGGTTTATAGGATAAGAGGCTTAATTATGTGTTGTTGGTTGTGTTGCTCAATTTGAAAGAAAAGACAAGTCGAAACATGTTTTAGTAAACCGAAAAATCAGTTTTGAGTTATTGAACTTGTGGGACTGTTTCGTGGGTTGTTTCGTGTTGCTGTTGGGTTGTCTATTTTGCTAATGTTTTTATGGAGTTTGGGAGGAGAAAGAGTGTGAAGAACAACCACATAATGGTAGGGTGGTTGGCTGGTCGTTCGTCGTTACATTTTTTAGGTTGTTGGACACTACTTTGGTTGTCGTTTTATGTATGACGTGATTAGGGTGTGTGGGATGTTTTGTGGTATATTGTGATGGAGATAAGGTTGGAACATGATGCATACATATTTTTATTGTTGTGTTCTTGCTATTGTTGGTATATGGTATTGGAGGATGGCCTTCTTATATGGGAGATGCTGCCAAAATTTACGTAAACAAGCTACTAGTTTACGTTGCGGACTTAGCCTTTACTCTGCACTGATTTTGAATCTCCTTATACCGTGGTAGATTAAATTGAGTTGTTCGAAGAATTGCTTGGAAGGCATTAAGGACCCAACGGAGTTAAGGTATGTTAAGGCATTTCCTTCTTTCTTTTGGCATGATCTAACGTGAAATGAATAAGCTATTTCATAATGAATCTACCCCTAGCAACTAAGGTCTCCGTACAAATTTATTCTAAGAAAGTATGTATGATCCTTGAGTCCTAGTGAAGTTCATATTGATGGTATGATGTCCATAATATTAATCGAATGTGCAACGACCTTACCTCACTCTGAAAGGTTTAGAACGTGATTCCATGAGTCGAGCATGCATTACATATATGTATCTATTTTACTCTACCGAGCCGCGCTATAGTCGGCCGGGTACGACACCTATTGTGCAACCACTAATCAGTTGGGTTTACCGAGCTCTACGTGGCCGGGTACGATTCTACCGAGCCTTATGATGGCCGGGTATGTTTTTACCGAGTCCTCTTTGAGGCCAGGTACGAGATGATGATGATGATACCCATAGAGGCGAACGTTTTTAAATGTTTATGTATATATATGTATTATGCATTTCATGTCAGTAGTCCCCAGAGGCACTCAGATGTTACAGGTTGTAGCTCCTCTATCTCTCTTTATATTACTGTTTTTACTTATGCTTTCCTGCCTTACATACTCAGTACTTTATTCGGACTGACGTCCCTTTTGCCGGGGATCCTGTGTTTCATGCCCGTAGGTCCTGATTGATAGGTTGACAATCCTCCTATTAGGCTATCAGCTCGGCAAAGGTGTTGGCGCACTCCACTTGCTCCGGAGTTGCCTATTTGGTCAGTATGCTTTGGATATGTATTGACTGGTATGGCGGGGCCCTGTACCGACCTTTATGATTTTATGTACTCTTAGAGGCTTATAGACAGATGTCAGGTGAATGGATACTTGTATGGCCTTGTCGGCCTATGTTTTGAGTTTACAAATGGTCATGTCAGCCTTATTGGCCCATATGTCATATGTATAAGTTTGTATATCATGTTGGGTCATCATATGTTGAGTATTTCCTTATGTTTTATTCTTGTTAACTCATGACGGGTTTTCTAGCTTATTTACTGATGATAGTATGATAAGAAAGATATGTTACGTTAGTACTCGGTTGAGTAAGGCACCGGGTGCCCGTCGCGGCTCTTCGGTTTGGGTCGTGACAGGAGCTTTGACAGAGGCGACTACCAAAGTGGCAATAACTTTAACTCCATGGGGCAGAGGCACCCAGGTTTTTCTTGGAGTTCATTAGGTGGTAGTGAAAATGCATGGCGGCAAAATAACCCCAGACCCCAGGGATAGGGCTAGGTTTTCAAATCAGCAAAGGCAACAATATCAGCCTCCACAGTCTAATCAGTCTAGCATGGAAGATCTGATGAAGGCCTTTATTATTAAGACAGATGAGAGGCTTGAAACCCATGGCTCATCTATACGAGAACAAGGCAAAACTATCGAGAACATGGCACGGCCATTCGAAACTTTGAAAGACAAGTGGGGGCAACTTTCTAATCTATTATCTGAGAGGGTTCTAGGAACTCTCCCTACTGATACTGAAAGAAATCCCAAAGAGATAATAAATGTAGAGTCTTTGAGGAGTGGGCACGTATTGGAGGATCCTAGGGCAAAACAAAAGGATGAGTTGATTGAAGGATAGGTAGAGATAATGGAGGACCAGAAAAATAGCAACATTTAAGAAGGTGAAGTGATGGTAGATAATGGTCTGAAGAAGAAGGGGAAGACTAGAGCTCAGAAGAAGAAGAAATATGGAAATTCAATGAATGAGGAGATTGAGGAAAGCAAATTCATGCCTGCTCTACCTTTCCCTGAGAAGCAGAGAAGAGAGAAGTTGGACAAACAAGTTGGGCATTTCCTAGATGTGCTCAAGCAGGTGCATGTTAATCTAACATTCACAGATGCCAGCCTATGCTAAGTTCCTAAAGGAGATATTATCCAAAAAGCGGAAAGTGGAAGAGACATCAGTTGTCAAGATCACAGAGCATTGTAGTGCCATTCTGCAAAACAAGCTCCTTCAAAAGTGTCGAGACCTAGGGAGTTTTACTGTACCTTGATCTATAGGAAGTACTAAGTTTGAAAAATCTTTTTGTGATTCAGGTGCTTCTATTAATCTTATGACTTTGTCTATTTTTAGGAAATTGGAGGGAGAGATTGGAGAAATAAGGTCGATACCCTTGTCCTTGCAGCTGGTGGATCAGACCACAATCATACTTGAAGTAATAGTGGAAGATATGCTAGTTCGGGTGGACAAAATTGTGTTCCCTATGGACTTCATTCTGGTAAACATGGAAGAGAATAGAGAAGTCCCTCCGATTTTAGGGAGACCCTTCTTGGCTACTGGCAGGGCTATTCAGGACATTAAGGAAAGGCAGCTCATGCTCAGAGTGGGAGAAGAAAGGGTGGTCTTCAAGGAAGGAGAAATGGGGGCCTTAAAAAAGCGAGCTGGAGAGAGTAAGCATGATAAGTGTGGAGTGTACCCAAAGAAGGCATAAAAGAAACTTTTTGCATGGATGTGTGCATTGGGTCAGGCGTGCAAAGAAGATCCCGACTTCGATTCAGACCCCGACTAGATGACTCAGGGGAGTTTCATTTACCTATTTCTTTTATTTATGTGTCATTGGGACATGCCACAATTTAAAGCGTGGGGTGGGGGATGTAATTATGTACATGTGTGTTTGTTTTCTTTTGTTTTGCGTGAAAAAAAAAATTACTTTTTCCCGACGATGGATCTCCTCGACTTTCTTCTTGAGGGATCAAAGTCGAGGAAAAAAAATATTTTGTTTTGTTTAGGTAGTGTAACAATTCCCCTTTGGTTTTTCTTTGTGCCGCAGTTCTTTTCCAAGGGTTTTGCTTGAACGGGGTGTAGTTAGTTTTTCTTTGTTAGGAATAGGGAAGTCTTGTGCTCTGGTGGTAAATGGAGATAACTTTTCTTGAATTTGGTTTGCCTTGAGAGTAGTAAGTGCATTAGTCGTAACGCCTAGGCTCAGTTCTTGACTCTTGGATAAGTGCCTAAAATTATTTGAGTTCGATGTTGCTTAACTGCTTTGACTAGAGAGTCGAGATAGATCCAGTCTTAAGTGAGTTATATGCCATTGTGTGTGTGAGCTATTTGTTGATATTCTGTGCATGTCAGTTGATGTCTAGAACCTGCCCTGGGTGCTTGCAAAGCGAAACGGAAGTCACTTTCGGTCTAGGAAGTGATATATGCATTTCTTTGTCGAGCCAAATATATGTTTTTACCCACCTAATTGTGATGTATCTTAGTTTGCCCCGTTGAGCCTGTAATCCTATTTCTTTGGCAACCACACTACGAGTACGGCCCTTTTTATTTGAATTGACTATCTATTTGAACCGTTTACCTCTCTTGAGCACTTGAATATGTTATGAGCTTGTTAAAAGCTAAGTTGAGGTATGGTTGGATTTTTGAATGCAACTATTGATAAAGGAGAAAGATGCATTATTTGAAAAATTGTGAGAGCCACTTGTATGGAATTGAAAAAAAAATGAGTTTGCTGGAAAAGAAAGAAAGAACGAAAGAAAAATCAGAACTTTGAAAAGAAAAAAAGAGAGAGTTGTGTATGTATTAGTTAGAAAGAAGAAAAACATTGATTCCTTGGAAGTGGTAGTTCTCATCTTGTTTGTGCTTAAAGAATTAGGAGCTTGATGCTATTATTATGTTGGGGTTTGGTTCAACACACATGTGTTGTTTAAATTGTTTATGTATATGTATTAAAGTGCTTAGGGAGGTGTAGTTACTATATCCAAATGTATCATCCCCGTCCCATAGCCTACGTTACAAACAAATAAAGTCCTACTTGATCTTCGACTGAATAAGCTCAATTAGTAGAGTATTACACTACGGACAAGAATATGGATGCGTCTTTTATGGCACATGAATTTTAATTCTGAAAATGAGTGAATTCTTTCTATCTTGAGTTCCTATTTGTTCTTGAATTTTATTGTGTATGGATAACTATCTTTGGTGTGAGGGCACATGATTTTCGAAGGAAAGGTAATGTCTTTGGCCTCTGAGTTAGAGTAAGTGAGTAGGTTTTTGAAATACGTGGCGCGCGTGAGTTTAGTCTTGAGGCTAGGATGTTATGATAGGGTGCTTAGTCTGCTTTAAATATTCTTGGCATGATGCGTTAGGGAAGTTGTCTGATAAGAAGGTCATCTCTAAGTGAAGTGCAGTTTGATTGCTCGAGGACGAGCAATGGTTTAAGTGTGGGGTGTTGATGGTAGGCTAGGAACACGTGTTTTAGCCGCATTTTGCACTCTACTTACTGCACTTTGAGCGTATTTGAGCTTAAATGATGGTGATTTGCAATTATTATGCGTTTTATGCTTTGTAGGAGATGATTCCGAGTTAAGAAGATGTTTAGGAGATAAATTGAATAATTTGGAGCTTTAAGTTGGTATAAAAGCCCAAGAAATTAAATCAGGATCGCATCTGGGGCTCCTGGACCGGCGTTGCATATGAAAGTTCGAAGAAAGCGCTTGGGCTAGAGCAAAATGTACTAGTGCGTCACATAGGCATTAAGCGTTGCATTAGTAAAAAAGTTCGTCAGAAGTTTGAGAAGTTCGGAGACTTGGAGTTTTTGGATCTGACAGAAAAATACACTAATGCAACGCAGGGTGCGTGGCATAGTGCGATGCATAAGTGGAAAAGTTTGTCAGACAAGCTATGTTCCGAGAGTTTACAACCGAGCAAATTACACTAATGCGACAAAGGGTGCATAGCATAGTGCGACACATGAAGTGTTAAAAGTTTACAGGTCTTCCCACTTCGGCTTATGTCACGACCCTAGTTCACCAACCGTGAACATGTCATGACGGCACCTGGTCCCCATGACCAGGTAAGCCTAACATTTGAGGAAATATAATAGTTGCAGAAAAATAGAGAAAATCAAATCAAATATCTAAAGGAAACTGTGAGCCCGTTTGGCTTAGCTGATTTAGAACAGCTGATAAGCATTAGGTGCTGAAAAGTACTTTTAAGTGCTGAAGCTGATTTAAAAAATAAGCAGTTACGTGTTTGGATAAAAGTGCTGAAATAATAATAAGCAGCTGAAGAACTGAGTATACAAAGAGTTTTGTTTTAAAAAGAAGTATTTTAGGAGTAGAATAGTAAATATTTTGGTCAAACTTAAAGTGCTTATAAGCTAAAATTTGATAAGTTGGGGGAGAACAACTTATGGCTTTTTACTTATTTTTGGCTTATAAGCACTTAACTTATAAGCACTTTTAATTTTACCAAACGCGTAGATAAGCCAAAAAGTGCTTATAAGCCAGTTTGACCAGCTTATAAGCTTAGCCAAACACCCTCTGTACTGAATGCCGCTTGGCAAGTACAACTCAATATCACAAGTCTAAAACAAATTCCCAAAACCCGGAAACTCACGGGCAACATAGGCTACAGAAGTGTATAATAAAGGTTCCAAACTCTAGAATTTCTAACAACCGAAGAAGGAAAACTAGGTACTAAAGATAGAGTAAGAGGGAGACTCATTGGCCTGCAGACGCAGCAGATCTACCTCGAAGTCTCCGTAGTCCTCCTGCCTCACTGATAGTGCGCCTGAGTAGAGGTACCTGGATGATCCACACATGAAAAACATGCGCAGGAAGGGCATGAGTACACCACAGCGATACTCAGTAAGTGCCAAGCTTAAGCTCGGTTGGGTAGTGACGAGGAAGGTCAGGGCCCTACTGAGACAAAATATAATAATAATAATTTAACAATATAAAAATCTGACAGATATAATAAGTACATCAATGAGATAAGACAGGTCAACGAGGCTATAACAACTACACGAGTACAGAATAAACACAGAGTAAACACAGCTCAATACCAATGATAACAATGAGGTTCTCCCAGGATACTGTCCTGTAGCCCTTTTTTCTCAACTGTCCAGTGGATCTCCCGGGATACCGTCCCGTAGTCCATCATATGTGTACATCCGAAGGATCTCCCGGGATACCATCCCGTAGTCCAACCACCAATGTGCAGGGGGATCTATCGGGAATCTAACCCGCAGTCTCAAAGTAAAAGTGCAGGGGGATCTATCGGGAATCTAACTCGCAGTCCCAAAGTAAAAGTGCAGGGGGATCTATCGGGAATCGAACCCGCATTCCCAAAGTAAACAAACAAGGGGGGGAGCTACCGGAATCCCACATCCGTAGTCCCAATGTAAATGCGCAATCACAACCAGAAGGTACACAGAAACGAAGTACAAAAGACAAGCAACAGGTAGTACTGGCCAAGCATGCTTCAAGTAGTACAGTTAAGGCAACTTAAGCAATTAGGCAAGTTAAATCAACTAAACATGCTTTCCTAATCTAGCACAGGTTATAATTGCAAGTAGAATAAAGCAAATATGAAAGGAACTCAATCTCAATATCTTAAGAAAACCGGATTTTCAACAATTGGCTCAAGTACGCACCCGTCACCTCGCGAACAAGGCACTCAAATCAACAAATAACAAATCCTAAGGGGAAAGGTCCCCTACACAAGGTTAGACAAGCCACTTACCTCGAACCGGCTCAATATCAACTAGAAACCACGCTCTTGCCACGACTATCCGACTCCAAATGATTCAAATCTATTCAATTCAATTACACATCGTAAATAACATCGCAAACACCTGGTATTGCTAATAAATTCAAAGCTACAGCGTAAAATTAGGTGAAATGACCAAAATGCCCTTCAGGCCAACGCCCCAGAATCAAATAATTTTCACATTTTCAGAACCCTCGTACTCTCACGAGTCTAACCATATAAAAATCTCCCATATCGGAGGTCAATTGCCCACTCAAAACTCAATAATTAGGTCTATAAAGTTTCTTCCAATTTTTGATCCTAAATTCGAATTCCAATGGTGTATTTAACTATAAAATGATAAAATATAACAAGAAGGGACCAAAGAAACGTTACCCAGTGATCTTCACTTCAAATCCCACTCAAAATCACCTTAAACCGAGCTCTCAATTGATTTTGCAACTTATGAACTCAAACCCTCGACATCTCTATTTCTGTCGAGGGGTTTCCGCTTCTGCGGACAAGGGACCACTTCTGCGGACCACGAGCCGCTTCTGCGGTTCTTCATTAAAGTCAAGATTTCCGCTTCTGCGGCCCTTCACCGCACCTGCGGTTGCCGCTTATGCGGATTCATTACCGCTTCTGCGGTTTCAAACAAAATTCCAAGGACCGCATCTGCGACTACCATCTCGCAGGTGCGTAACCGCTTCTGCGGTTAAACTTCCGCACCTGCGGAAACTGAAGAAGCACTCGAATTTCGCTCCTGCGGTGGTCTAGCCGCTTCTGCGGCTCCGCTTCAGCGCTTCCCAAGCCGCAGAAGCGGAAATACCAGATGACAGAACCTTCAGCAATTTATTCAACTTCAAAATTTTTCGACAACCACCCGAAATCATCCTGAGGCCCCCGGGACCTCAACCAAAAGCACCAATACCACCTAATACCTTATTCGAACTTGTA